ATCTAATGCACGTGTGTAACTGTGTAATCACTCACCAGCCTTACGTGTGGTGAGCTTTGGGTAAGGTTTGTATGTACACAATGAGAAAACTTTGAACATGGAAGGATTTGGTTTCCTGCATTGCTTTCCTGCCTGCAGTTACCTGGTGCAGGGCTGAAGTAAGGAATACACCTGTAGGTAGGTGGGCTTTAAGGTCCCTGTCATCCCAAGCCTTTCTGGGGCTCTGTGAGTCTGTGAATTGGTGTGACGGGGCTGTTGTCAGAGTGACACAGGACAGAACATGCCAGAACTGCCAGAGTGCCTCATTAACGCTCTGGTTTTCACACAACGCTCCTGAATCGGTCCCAAACAAATCTCCCCGCTCCGTGGGTTTTGTTACCACTCCCTGCTGGCTGGGGCTCAGCTCTGACAAAAATAAAATTGAATGTACACTGTGTGCACTCTGGGGGAGGATCCTGTGAGTGCCAACGGAAACATTGTCTGTTCCGATGTGAAGAAATACAGCATTTGCTACTAAGGAGTGAAAATAGAATTTTCCCAAATTACACAAAAAGAAAAAATTATAAACCAAATGGCATTAGTGTTGGGCTTAATGTGATGTGGGATAGACTTACTCAAACGGTCTTTGCACACTAAATGTCCTCAAGCAGTGTGGCTGCTAGGATTGAGGGTTTTAGAGGATTCAGCGTTAACTTGGTGAAAGCACTTAGGCCAGTGTTTTGGGAAAAGCTGGGTTAACTGCCCTTAGTGAAAATGAAAGTATCTCTTCATTGTCACCGTATTACAGCAGGTGAAAACAACAAATAACCATCAGCTGGCTCAGAGAGGCTTCTCCCAGGGTGCTGAGCTGTGCCTGATTCTGCCAGCATGCAGCAGGTGACAACTGGCATCAGGCAGGGCACTGGTGAACATCTGTTCTTGGGGAGTGTCACAGTTAGCATTTCACTGTGCTGCCTACTCTTAGGAGATTCAGGGGATCTTCAGGAGCATACTCACCTGTGGAGAAGCATGCCAAATTAATTTGGCTTAGCCACTCTGCTGTTAGAAAATAACTTTTTGACTGAAGTGTTTGGAAAACCCCAGAAGATCACAGAGGGGTTACCTGTGTTGGCAAGGGGGGGATCATTGTTCTGTTTGGCTTTGTGGCTGTGGGGGTCAGCCAGAGCCTCCCTGGAAGCTCAGGGTTCACACACCTCGGGTTTCTTAGAGTGGAATCACGTCTGGGCTGGAGGAGCCTGGCTAAAGCCTGGAGGTGCTTTTCTCTGGTGTTCAGGGGATCTCTGTGCCTGGAGAGAGTGGCATTTGATTGTGAGCTCAGAAAGGCTGAGATGCAAAACCTTTGCTTTGCTTTATCCTTCCTTTTCTCTCTGGAGTGTTAAAGATCATGCCTGTGGTCTGGAGCTCCCTCCGAGGGGCAGCTCCCATCTCTGCTCTGTGACCAGGGACAGGACCTGAGGGCAGGGCTGGAGCTGGGCCAGGAGGAGTTCAGGCTGGAGATCAGGAAAAGGCCCTTCCCCTTTGGATGAAGGGTGCTGGCACTGCCCAGGCTCCCCAGGGAATGGTCCTGGCCCCAAGGCTGCCAGAGCTCTGGAGCATTTGGACACTGCTGCCAGGGACAGGGTGGGATTCTTGGGATGTCTGTGCAGGGCAGGGAGCTGGGTCCCTGTGTGCCCATCCCATTCAGGATGTTCTGATTCTCTGTTCAAGTGCAGGATTTTAATGTCATTATCTAGGGGAGAATGCACACATGCCAGTTGGCAGGGCTTAAAAAAAAAAAGGCAAAACCCAGCTGTTCCTGGATATAAAACCACTATCCTGTGACCCCCATCTCTCCTAAACTGTTGCACTGTTGTTCTCCACAGATGATAAATTCCCAAGGTGGGAAGTCACTCTTTACTCCTTTCAAACCCAGGCCTCTCCAGATCTCTGCTGTTTATGCCATGAAATACTCAAGGACTCCACTCTGTAGGTCACATCAATCTGAAGCCAGTGAGTTTTTCTACCAGTGTAGTTAATCAGGAGCTGGTTATTTCCCAGTCCTCTGCCTGCAAATGCATTCCATGGACACTCCGTTGCTTTTGGACAGCTGAGGAGTGAGTAATAGCATGGGGGTTCTTGCGTCAGAATAATGATGAGGGGAAAATGGATGAGAGGTTCAGAGAAAGCAGGAAAATGTTGTTTTGAACACAGTGGTCCCAATCCTGGAATGTGCTGAGAGTGTCCTGAGCTCACTCTGACTTTAGGAGCATTGGGAGGCTCAGCAAAACACCGAGCAGCCTTTGGATTTGGGGCTTGCTAAACAATTGCTACTTGGAAGTTTGGTTTTATAGAAGCTACCCATTTCCACATTATTTATTCTGCTGATTGGCTTCTCCAGATTGCTTTTGCTCTGGACAAATAAGTGACAAATCTGGGAAGAGGCAAACTCTCCAAATTTAAACAGTCAGGGTTCCATAGACCAGAGCTAATATTGGCTGAAGTGGGGTCGTGCTGCCGTGTGCTGAATGCCCCGTCCAGGGCAGGCCCAGGAGAGGGGGGTTTGTGTCAGTGCTGCCTGGGGCTGTGCTGGCATGAGCCCACTGAGGGGGGCTGAGCCCCCAGGCTCTGTGAGGAGGGAGCACATCGCCCTTGTGCCCCTGGCACGGCAGGGGTTGGCTTTGGTGGCCCCTGGCACGGCAGGGGTTGGCTTTGGTTGCCCCTGGCACGGCAGGGGTTGGATTTGGTGGCCCCTGGCACGGCAGGGGTTGGGTTTGGTTGCCCCTGGCACAGCAGGGGTTGTGTTTGGTGGCCCCTGGCACAGCAGGGGTTGGGTTTGGTGGCCCCTGGCTGAGGCTGCTTTCGTGGCCCGGGACAGCGGCAGGGGTGCCGTGGGTCAGGCTGGCCCAGTTCAGCACCAGAGAAAGGGGGATGTCTCCAGAGTAATGAGCTCCTGAGCCCGTGGCTGCAGGCTAAAGGAGCGTTTTCTGGGTTGCAGAATCACTGAAGCATTTGTGTTGGAAAAGCCCTCCAAGAGCATCGAGTCCAAGCTGTGACCTCACCTCATCAACCAGCCCGGAGCACCGAGTGCCACATCCTGTCATTCCTTGAACACTGGGTTCCTTTGGAATCCCTGTTGTTATGTGGAAGCAGCTGCTGTACCACAGCTTGTCGCTGTCCTTTGTCTCTTTTTCACCCAGTGCTCCCTCTGCACAGGGCTGTACGTTCTCTCAAGCCCTGAAACTGGGCAAGTTTGAGGTGAACCTCATAAGGTCATTTATCCCTCCCTGCCATGGCAGCAGCAGCAGTGCCCGTGCATTTACTGAGTGCTTTGCCTGCCAGCTCTGACCGATGGTTGTTCCCTCTCGTGCATCTCGTGTGATGGAGCATCCCCAACTTTTCCTGACATCTTGTTCAGTTGTTTTGCTGTTCCTCCGTTGTTGCAGCTGATTCTGGGTATTGTTTGCTGTGTGGAATTGGAGTTACTGTTTGTTTCTTCATCGGTGCTTTATCATGCTGCCGTTTCTGTACACTTTGTGTAACTTTTTTTCTCATAGCTGAAGACGGATTGCGCTGCACAGCCTGGGCTGGGTTGGAATGAGAGGTTTGGGGAGGGGAGGTGGTGCTTGCGAGGCCATTGATCCCATCTTTATAACTTTGCCCTTTTAGCTGGGAACAGATGATTTGCACGGGGGTTGGAGATCTGCGCCGGCAGAATCCGAAGCACCAAACTTTGCATAAACCATTTATACTAAATGCTGGGAATGCTGGCAACATAAATCACCTACAGTATCTATTACAAATTTATCACTTTATCAGTATCGTCTGTGATAGGAGTGGTCCAAACAGGTGGGGAAGTGAGCAGTACCTCAGGAAGTTTAGCCTGCTCAGAAATTAATTATTCAGGACACACAGAGCCTGGCCCCTTCAATGTATAGTAATTCTTTCCAGGCAGCATCCAGGCCTCCAACTTCAGTGCAATAATAAATAGGAAAAGTCTCAGGTGAAGCCAGTATTTCAGAGTAATTAATCATCTTCCCCTTGCAGTCCCTTCACCTCTCTCTTGGTTTTCTTTAACGAGGGAATTTCAGTAATAAATCTTTAATGATGTATGTTAAGAATCCTTCATTAATTTTTGTCCACTTATTCTTCTTTTTTGGGTGCTTTTATGTTGTATGTTGGGAAGTTCAAAGGAATATACAGAAAAAACCCCAGTTAAATTTGGCACGGTCTCTAAAAGGATGTTTTGGACGCCGAGTGTCGTGTGTTCACTCGGCAATCAGACTGGCTGGGTAATAGCGGCTGGATTGTCACAATCTTGGATGTGGGTACTGAGATCCTGCAGGACTGCACAGGAAAAGGGAGAGATGGTTCATGTGCTGCTCGGTCCTGGGGTGCAGAGCCTCAGCCAGGGGCTCGAGTGCGTGTGGGGCAGGAGAGCCCTGTGGGGCAGCAGAGCTCCGTGGGGCAGCAGAGCTCTGTGGGGCAGGAGAGCTCCGTGGGGCAGCAGAGCTCCGTGGGTCAGCAGAGCCCTGTGGGGCAGGAGAGCTCCGTTGGTCAGCAGAGCTCCGTGGGTCAGCAGAGCTCCGTGGGGCAGGAGAGCTCCGTGGGGCAGGAGAGCCCTGTGGGTCAGCAGAGCTCCGTTGGTCAGCAGAGCTCTGTGGGGCAGGAGAGCCCTGTGGGGCAGCAGAGCTCCGTGGGGCAGCAGAGCTCTGTGGCTCACCAGAGCTCCGTGGGTCACCAGAGCTCCGTGGGGCAGCAGAGCTCCGTGGGGCAGCAGAGCTCCGTGGGTCAGCAGAGCTCTGTGGGGCAGCAGAGCTCCGTGGGTCAGCAGAGCTCCGTGGGTCACCAGAGCTCCGTGGGGCAGCAGAGCTCCGTGGGGCGCTGCCCACGCGGCCCCAGGAGCCCGGCAGCGAGCGGCCAGCAGCCCCACACGATGTGACAGGGCCGGCTGTGACAGATGCGGGCTGACACGCTGCCCCGGCTCCCCGGGCGCTGCGGGTGACGGCTGCCCTTCCCCGCAGGACAGCACAACGACGCCAGGATGAACCTGGCCATCGCCCTGACCGCCGCCCGCTACGGAGCCACCACCGCCAACTACGCCGAGGTGAGACACCTGCTCAAGAGCACCGACACGGCCAGCGGGCAGCCACGCGTCTGTGGGGTGCGCTGCAGGGATGTCATCACGGGTGAGTGTGGGGTCTGTGGGGTGTCATCACGGGTGAGTGTGGGGTGTGTGGGGTGTGCTGCAGGGATGTCATCACAGGTGAGTGTGGGGTGTGCTGCAGGGATGGCATCACGGGTGAGTGTGGGGTCTGTGGGGTGTCATCACGGGTGAGTGTGGGGTGTGCTGCAGGGATGTCATCACGGGTGAGTGTGGGGTGTGCTGCAGGGATGGCATCACGGGTGAGTGTGGGGTGTGATCACAGGTGAGTGTGGGGTGTGCTCACAGGTGAGTGTGGGGTGTGTGGGGTGTGCTCACAGGTGAGTGGGGTGTGCTCACAGGTGAGTGTGGGGTGTGCTCACAGGTGAGTGTGGGGTGCTCTACAGGGACACCCTGGGATAACACAGCAGGGAGGAGCGGGGCCACTGGCATCAGCAAACAGCCCTGAACCGGCGCAGGAGCCATCTTCCCAGGCCGTGCCATTAGTGTCACTCAGCTTCCACTTCTGTCACATTTCTCACTCAAACCCCAGTGTTTTGGCAGGCCAGCCTGAGCTTTCCATCCCAGCCCTGCTGTCAAGCAAAGATGACATAGTAAAAGGCTCCGTGCTGTACAGGAGTAATCCCATTTACCGAGTCTGCGGGCTGAGACTGAAATCTCTCTTCTTGCGAGGCAGATTTCAGCTGAGCAGCTTCCACCCTGCCTGCCTCTCTTCTGCCCTTACAGATAAGCTGGAATTCCACTCTAAAACGTTTTCTCTCAAATCTGCTGTTGGGTGAACACTTAGTTAATTTTTAGAACGCATCCCAGCTGTTGTGTTCAGACACGCAGGGTACACTTTACAGTAGGTTGGGTTCATAGAGAGATGAATAACAAAGAGCATCAGTGAGCAGGAAACAAATGGTGTCTGTGATTGATACTGTTTTCTTTCACAGGGAAGGAGTTCGATGTCAGAGCCAAGTGTGTTATCAACGCCACGGGACCTTTCACAGACTCGGTCCGCAAAATGGATGATCAGGAGGTGCCCAACATCTGTCAGCCCAGTGCAGGCGTGCATATTGTGATGCCTGGTTATTACAGGTGAGGCACGGGGAGCCTGCTGCCCGTGTAACACCATTTGTAATCTCTGCTGCTGCTGCTGCCGAATAAATCAGCCGGGAGAGACGCGCCGCTGCCTTTACAGCAGCTCGGAGCGCACAGTTTGATTCTGATTTTTGTTTGCGTTTTTTAAAGAGGATCCTGGCGCTGTGCCGGTGAGAAGAACAATTTCATCTATTCAGAATAGACTGAAGCCATGTAGTTTTTAGTTAGAGCTCCCCGAGGCAGGGCTCCTGCTGAAGCAGAAGGCGTTTAGGCAGCACATCCCCAGGCTTGTGGAAGCACCTGTTTCAGTGATGCCTTTGAGCTGAGTGTGCTGCTGCTCAGTCACCCCCTCAGGAAAACCAGGAGCATGTAAAACCTCCCAGAGAGGTTGCACCTTCATACAGAATCTCTTGTCCTGTTAAATCAGGGAATCACAGAGTGCTCTGGTTTGGAAGGGACTTTAAAGACGATCTTGTTCCGCTACCTGCCTTTACGTATGAAACCCCCTGAGCAGTGACACTGCCAGGATGCGGCTGTGCTCAGAGAAAACAGCAGTGCAGAAGCACAAAGTGATCGAATGGGCATGGTAATCAGTAATAATAATTACTACCACAGGCAGTAGAAATAGCTCAGAGTAACTCGACCACGCTTGCAGTGGCCCCAAGCCCACCCACCCTCCCGTGGGGGTTTGGTGGACAGGACGTGCCCTCCTTGTTCCAGGAGAGTTCCCGTGGCGCTCTGCTCCCTGCAGCCTCCTGCTCCTCTCCCTGTTTGCTGTGCAAAGCCAAATCCCCTTCTCCCGAGCCGGCCTTGTCAGTCGGAACTCAAATATTACCTTTGGTTCCTGAAGTCATTAGCATCCTAATGGAAATTCCCCTTTATGGACTTAGCCCAGTTGTGTTGATACAGTGCCCTTGCAGTAATGCCTTCCACAGCCCTGCTCAGAATGGGAATTCAGCCTTGCAGTGCACAGCGGGGTGTTTGTGCCACAGCTGTCCCAACAGGACACCACCACACACTGAAAAATTGAGGCATTTTTGGCCTGGTGTAAAATCACCCCTCCATTCTCTTCTGGTTTTTTGTGGGTTTTTTTTTTTCATTTTTGTATCTTTCTCCATGAAAAATGGTAAAATGACCTAATAGCTGCTGCAAAGTACTAAAAATGTGGAGAAATGGGCTGTAATCCCAGTTTCCTCATATGCCAGGAGAAGGATGTGTGTGATTAGCTTTATGGCCCTACACAAAAACATGGAAAGCTTTAAAACCTGGACTCACTTGGTAAATTCAAGTAGAAGATGGCTGGATACACTCGAGAGCTCCGATTTATTTATTCTGTAATAACCCAATAATTTTAATTGGAAATGTGGAGAATTCTTGTTCTCCATGTTCCCCAGTGTATGTCAGCATGTGGGCATTACTTTCCTTGGAAAATAGTATCTGCCCACACACTGCCTCCACAGCACAGCTGATCAGATAAAACTGCACTGAATTTCCTTGGAGTGGGATAGCTGAAAGCAAGGAACTGTCTGCTAAATAGAAAACACTCGTGGGATTTAATCTTGGTTGTATCAGGCTTTTTTTTAAACATCTAGAGGGTTTTAGTTATAAATATAGTCAAGATTTTGTAAAACTAATGTTAACCTAATGCATTCGTTCCCCATGGGTTTCTTACTCATTGATGTCCTTCACTAATAGTCCCAGAATTCCTCCCCTCATTAATTAGGCTTCCTGCCTGGAATGTGTCTGAGAAGGCAAGGATTTTTCCTCTCCCTTCTGACTAATTTCTGATGTTTCTGTCTTTCTGGAATTTTCCTCTCTGCTCTGCATTCCACATGCCAGGTAAACTTGCCTGTTGCACCTTACTTTTTCTCTATGGAAAGTCACATTTTATCGTTCTTTAACTGCCTTGGTGGTGCTTTGGTCAAATGCTTCTTCAGCTGGGGATCTTCCATGGATCCAAGACCTTCCATGGAGCTCCCAGACCTTTTACCTCTACATTTCTCTGTAAAGGCATTGCTTTGTGCTTCATGGTGGAGCTGCCAGTCCTGAATTTGCCCATTTTAGCCATCCTTAAAGAGAACTCTCACCAGGGCTACATGGCTCCTGCCTCCTTCTCCCATCCATGGTGGAATTGTAGGAATTCCCACCTCCTAAACCAGGTTGTTTCAGAGGTATTCCAGGTGTGCAGCAGCATGACTCCTGAGGCCTCAGGAAGGCCAGCATTTGGGTGTCAAGATGCTTCTTTCTGATGCAAAACACCTTATTTTGCATTTGTTTGGGTGGTTCTTTAGTTATTTAAATAAGCTGGAGCAAGCATGGCAAAGGGCATGGAGAGAGAGCTTCCCAGGATAGCTGGTGTCAGTGATTCAGTAAATAATTGGCATATGGAAAATTGTTTCAGCCTTTCTCAGCGCTTGCTGTGCAATCTGAAACGCTTCAGTCCAGAGGTGCTGTGGGGAAACTTAGTTTGAAGTATTTGCTTGGTTCTCTTTCTTGTTTTTAAGAGTTTTTATGAAATCACATAAAAAAAATTCATACTTTGAAGAAAATGTCTATAAAGTTTCTGAATTCTGGTACTGTATATTGAACCTCTGATTTCCTCTGTCTCTAAATCAACAGCTTTTTCATTTTAAAAAGTAATCATTTGTCTGAGGTGATTTACCTTTCCCAAACCTGTGTTGACTTCCCCTATTAGATTGTACCTCTGCCACCGTATGCCTAAGCTGTCTATAAATATCAGCTAAAATGGGTCTAATATACATGCTAGCTATGAAATTCTCAGCCTCTCTCCCAGCCTTGCCAGATATTGCCACCTTCCCTTCAGTTATCACTTCAGACTTCCTAAAAATGCAATATTCAGCGATTCAGCTTGAATAGGTAAATCCCACCCAGGCAGGTCTTCGCCTTCAGACGCTGCCTTAGGATTTGAGCCCATTGAATAATTCCCCTCTGAGGTCCCTAAGAGCCACCTACATCTGCATCCCCTGCCCTCCTTCCATGTGCCCCTGGAGCTCAGGAGCCTGAAGAGCCCTGACCTGACTGCAGGTGTTTGTAAAGGGACTTGCAGCGCCTTACATGAGAGTCAGCATCAGTCCTTGAAGTAAAAATGATCGAAAAAGGGGGCAGCTCAATGTTTTCCTACATAAAAGCTGTTTACCTTGAAGTGTTTATAAAAGCCTTTTGTTTTCTGAAATACGAGCAGAGCTTTTGAATAAGCCATGAGGAGGTAGTGGGTTTGTACCTGTGGATATCTTTCTTACATTACACCAGAAAAACCTGATACATTGATTAAAATCTCCTACCCAAAGCACTACAGTTTTTTGTGCTTGTACTGAATCACTGTGTTGTAGAATGAAATATGACTGAGTAGCAGCATCCACCAAGTGTCTCTTTTGCCTTTTTTCCTCATTCACAGTTCCCCATCCAGGGCCACAGAGCTGGAAGCACTCAGAGCACGTTCCTTGCTCCAAATCCCTCAGGAGCCTGTGGGTGTTCCTTCCTGCTGAAGTGGCAGGTGGTGACAAACTCAGGCTTAGTGGAAGGATATTCCTTAAATGTCTTCATTTCTCTTCTTTGTTGTCCTTTTCCTCTCAGTCACCACCCCTCACCCCTCCTGCTCCGCCTTTATTGCAGAGGCAGACTGGAGGAGTCACTGCAATTTGGGTCATAAAAAGATCCACGGGCCTCATTCCCCCAAACTTCTGGGACATCTGTTTAAATCTGTCTTGGGCACACGTGAAATGTGTTATTTGTTCATTCATTAACTCCTTTGCCTGAGAACAGCTGGTGTGTCCCAGTCCTTGCCTGGGCACTGGGGGTGCAGGGACAGACCCCAGGTGCCACCAGGTTCAGCCAGACCCCTCCTCTGTTCCAGCCCTGACAACATGGGGCTGCTGGACCCGGCCACCAGCGATGGCAGGGTGATCTTCTTCCTGCCCTGGGAGAAGATGACGATTGCAGGGACCACGGACAGCCCCACGGACGTCACCTCCCACCCCATCCCCACGGAGGAGGACATCAACTTCATCCTGAGCGAAGTGCGCAACTACCTGGGCGCCGACGTGGAAGGTAATCCTGGGGGAGCCCTGGAGGGGCTGGGGAGGAGCTGCTGCCTGGAGCTTTTGTGTGACAGCTGTGGCTGTTGTGAGCTGCAGTGTCAGCGTGAGCTGTGCAGTGGTGCTGTTCCTGATCATCCAGTGCAACCATCAGCCAGCACCACCGACACATCTCCAGCGCCACATCCACTTGTTTTTGGGGCACCTCCAGGGAGGGTGACCCCACCACTGCCCTGGGCAGCCATCTTCCCTCCAGACTGAGGGTTTGGGTTATTTCAGTTATTCTGGGAAGGCATTTGGACTGCTGTGTTTCTGCTGCAGCATGAAGTCTGAAAGCACTCAGGCAGGAACATTGTAGCATACTTGGGTTTAGGAAAACCTGCTGTCTGGAGATGGGAAATGCTCGATTTCTTGCTCCCTGGAGAATTGATGTCTGCATGTTGTATGAAGTTCTGAAAGTGTCCAGGGAAGCTCCTGTTGAGTGTCTGGAGCAGCAGTTGGTGTTGGAAGTGCAGGGGACCAGGGAGGGAGATGGGAATGCGAATAGGACAGAGATTAGATAGGATATTGGGAAGGAATTGTTCCCTGGCACAGGTGCCCAGAGCAGCTGGGGCTGGCCCTGGATCCCTGGCAGTGTCCCAGGCCAGGTTGGACATTGGGGCTGGGAGCAGTCTGGGACAGTGTGAGGTTTCCCTGCCCATGGGATGTCATGGGATGAGCTGTAAGGTCAGTCCCAAGCCAGGCCATTCTGTGGTTTCCTGTGCATTTTCCAGCAGCACATCCAGAAGTGCTCAGTCCCTGTGGCTCAGCCCAGCTGGGCCTGTGCTGGTTTTCCTGTGCAGTTACTGTTTATAGATGGCTGGAACTGAAATAACAGCAGCACTGCCCATATCAAGGCTCGACAGCCCTGCCTCTGCTGCCAGAGCCAGTGCCAGGGTTATCAGCTTCCACAGGCTTGGACACCTTCCAGCTGCTTAATTACAGCGTCACGCGTGCTGCTTTCTGCAGTTTCATTAGTTTATAAACCTAATACAGGATCTTGTGTCTGTGATTAACACTTCATTTTGGCAGGTTAAACATGCTGGCAGAGCACCATTGATTTTGGAAATCTATTCAGTGTTCTTTGGGGGATGTTTTTTACACCCTTTTAGTGATTTTTCAATTATCGGTCGTTTGAAAGTTGTATTAAAAACATGTTCCAAAGACTTCCGTATAAAGCAAATTGGTAACTGCACTTAGGGTGAAGGCTGTGGATAAAGATGACTTGTCAAGAGGAAATCTTGGAATAATAACCTTCAGGCCAGAGGAAAAGTCTGGAAGATCTGAAAGAAAATGTTACACTCATGTAACAATCTTTATTTTGGTTTATAAAACGTAATGTAAGGACTGTTCAGGTTCATTGGGAAGAATTTTCATGGCAAGGGGGTCAGGCTGGAGCTGCCCAGGGAGGTTTGGAGTCCCCATCCCTGGAGCTGCCCAGGGAACACGTGGACGTGGCACTCAGTGCTCTGGGCTGGTGACAAGGTGGCCATTGGTACAAGTTGGACTGGGTGTCCTGGGAGGGCTTTTCCAGCATCAGTGATTCTGGGGTTCCATAGCCCAGCTCATCCCCTGCCTCTGAGGGCTCTCCCCAGCTCTGGGCTCGCTCAGGGCCGAGCAGGGTGTGGAGCAGTGCCCAGCAGTGCCCAGCAGTGCCGTGGGACATGGGCACCCCTGGGCTCAGTGTGGCTCTGCACAGTGAGAAGAGGAGATGTGCTGGCAGCCTGGAGTGGCATCCGGCCCCTGGTCACCAACCCCGACTCCAAGGACACCCAGTCCATCTCCCGGAACCACGTCGTGACCGTCAGCGACAGCGGCCTCATCACCATTGCAGGTACTGGCAGTTCCTTAAAGGCACGGCCTTGCTGGGCTGCCCTGGGGATTCTGTGTGGAAATCTCCTCCCAAGGTAGTTGTTCAGCTCCTCTAAGCAGAAGCTGCTCTGTCAGTGGCAGCGGGGCTGGCACCATCACGTGCTGTACAGAGTACACAGATATGTCTGTAGCATCTAGCAGCTTGTATTGTTCCTGCTTTCCCCACGTAACGAGGTGAGCGCGTGTTCCCCCAGGTGGGAAGTGGACAACGTACCGAGCCATGGCGCGGGACACCATCGACACAGCCATCCGGGAGCACAGCCTGAAGGCAGGCTCCTGTGTCACCATGGGGCTGCAGCTGGAGGGGGCTCAGGACTGGAGCCCCACGCTCTACATCAGACTGGTGCAAGACTATGGACTTGAGAGCGAGGTGAGTCCTGGGCTCCTGTGCCGGAGGGCTTTGGCCTTCCCCTAAATCAAACACCGACAGAACTTGGCCTAAGGTCTGGTGAGCCCCATCACAGCTGGGACAGAGATTGTTCTGACTGAAATAAAGTTCATAGTTCTTCATCATCTTCCCCTTTTTCCTTCCTCCTAATCTTGGCTGTTTCCTGCTTAAAAGCGCTCTGGCTTGCCGCAGTCCCTGGGGCCGCCGCAGCTGTGCCTCAGCTGTGCTCAGGGTGTGGCAGGGGAGCTGGGCTGGCAGCCTGTGGCACACACAGCGGGCCAGTGCTGGGCCAGCCCTGGCTTCCCTCCCGGGCTGTCCCACTCCAGCACCCCTGGCAGCCTCTTTGGTACTGGGGATGAGGGATGCTCAAGGAAAATGTGTCTTTCTTGTGCTTTTGAAGCGTGCTGGATTTGTTTTCCTCTCCACAGGTGGCTCAGCACCTGGCTTCCACCTACGGGGACAAGGCTTTTGAGGTGGCCAAAATAGCCCAGGTGACGGGGAAGAGGTGGCCCATCGTCGGGAAACGGCTGGTGTCGGAATTCCCCTACATTGAAGCTGAGGTATGTGGGAAAGCCATGTCACCTGCTGTGACTCTGTCCTGGGGACCAGCAGGTCGGTGCCTCTGGCAAACATCTCCTTGAGCCCTTTCCTTTGGGGAAGCCAAGATTTTTCTGTGCCCGTACCTGGAGCACACTTTATGCATCGCTGCATACACATACTAACATATTTATGCATAATTAAAGGTTTATACAGCGCCTCTTTTTTACTTCACATGCAAGCATTTGATCCCAGGTGGATTCTGTAAAACGTTCCAAGGAAAAGGGAGCTTTCCCAGCCCTGTTCCCAGGGCCTGGGGTGGTAGCCCCGGCCTGTGCAGGTGTCAGGTGTTCGATCTGTGCTCCCCTCGCAGGTGGTGTACGGGGTTAAGGAGTACGCCCGCACCGCCGTGGACATCATCTCCCGGCGCACCCGCCTGGCCTTCCTCAACGTGCAGGCTGCCCACGAGGCCCTGCCCAGGATCGTGGACATCATGGGCAAGGAGCTCAACTGGTGTGAGCAGAAGAAGAAGGTACAAAGGGCCCTTTTCAGCTGGAGCTGCTTTGTTTTGCTTGAGGAGTTTCCCTGTTAAGGAGAGTTGGTTGAATAGAAAGCTACAAGTGATGTTTTCTTCCCGGGAGAATGAGTCACTTGGTGCATTTCATTTAAAGGCTTTATCAGATGGCTGTGAAATGGGTTGGGATCGGCCAGGGGGTGGAGGGGAAGGGGAAGATCTGTATCCTGGTGCTTCCCAGCCTTAGAAATGCAAGCAGGCTTGGCATTGCTGTCCTATTCCTGTCAGTTGTTTTGCTTTACTGACACTTTTCAACAGATCTCCCTGAGCAAAAGAAGCTCCTGTAACCACAAAGAACCTGCCTGGTGTTGAGCTCCCTGATTTTTTTCTGATTTTAGACAGCTGAGTGAATCATCACGCTAAGATAACAAATGACATGTTGTAGGATGGTCTGAAAAGGCCATTTCTTCCTGAAAGGGGCAGACAGGCTGTGTGTGACTGAAGGTGTGGATGTTCCTGAAAGCATTTACAGAGAAATTAGAAGTCCTTACGTGCCTGGGTACCTTTTTCCAAGAGTAAAAAGTGCCAAAGTTTAACTTTTTGATACTTTTCAGCTGCCATTTGCTTAACTTTGAGACCTTAGAAAAGTACTGGTTAAGTGGAAGAACCTAATAATAAAGTATAAAAAATAAATACTTGTGTAAGAATTTGCTATTGCTCAGTACCCAGGTTTTGTGTTTTCATTGTAGGAAGAGCTTGAAACGGCTAAAACATTTCTGTACTATGAAATGGGCTACAAAGTGAAAACAGATCAGTTGACAGACAGGTCTGAGATCTCTCTAGTGCCTTCAGACATCGAGAGGTGAGTGGGGCAGGAGAGCTGGCCGTGCTGCTGTCCCTGCAGCCCCACGGCAGCCCTGACGCGCCAGCCCTCCCTCGCAGGTACAAGAAGCGCTTCCGCATGTTTGACAAGGACAAGAAGGGCTTCATCACCACCCTGGACGTGCAGCGTGTGCTGGAGGTGAGTGCCCTGTGCTCCTCACCCCTCTGGGAGCAGCTGTGGGAAGCAGGAGAGGCCCAGGCTGCTGAGCCCCCTCCTCCTGTGCTTGTCCCGTGCAGAGCATCAGCGTGCAGATGGACGAGAACACCCTCCACGAGATCCTCAACGAGGTGGATCTCAACAAAAACGGGCAGGTGGAGCTCAACGAGTTCCTGCAGGTAGGTGCTCCGCTTGCTGCCAGGAAAGGCTGGCTTTTCAAAGGCAAAGACACTGCCAGCGAGTTGTAGTAATTTAGATTAGCCAATTTCCTTTCCCAGCCAACGCAGCAAATAATGTGGTGATTTTAAAGCATTAGCTAAAAATCACCAGAAAACTTACTCATCTTTTGCTGTGAGATATGGATTAGGAGAAGGACAAAACAGGCTTAAAACTTAAAAGGAATAAGGGCTGGGTTGGGGACCAGGGCAGTGTTACCTGTGGTGTTGGTACAAGGGGCTCACAGAGCCATCCTCAAGCTGCTTGGAAATTCAGGGGGTTTTTCCCAGTCAGACTCAAAGAATGGATCCAATTTACAAAGTATGCCCCAGTCCAGACCTGAATTTGGCATTTTAAGCCCAGAAATGCTGTTTAAATATTTTTAAAATGATGCAGGTGTCCATTGGAAAGTGCATTATCTGGCATTAAGCTGTTAAGGGTTGTTATAAAAATAAATAAGCTAAGAAACTGTATAATAAACAACTAAATAACAAATAGTAATATAACTATAATAATAAACTGAATAACTAAATAATAAACTGAGTATTATAAAGAATGAGCTTGTAGTTAGAGCTCATCCAGGCCCTATAACCCATTTTAACTCCTGGGCTGGCTAAATGGTCCCAGTCTCTGAAGAAAATGACATGCATCTGCTTTTTGGGGGGCTCTCAAGCAAACCCAAGCGTGCTCCCTTTGCAGGTGCTGGGTTGGTGTTTGAGGAGCCTTTTTTGGGGTGGTATTTCAGAGCCTGCCGTGTCTCCCCTGCCCAGTGGCAATGATGAATGCCAAACAGGAGAGAAATTAATGCTGGGGATTTTGGTCAATGTCAGCCCTTTCTTCACTGTGTCAAGTTAAACAAACAAGATCAAGGCAAAGGAAATGGTAATTGTCTCTCTGGAGATGAGCTGGGGATAAGAGCAGCATTGTTGAATCTAAATGCAGAAAATTTTCACAGGTTGTGTCCAGCATTAGCAAAAAGGAGTATTTATTTGCCTAAAATACAGCAATTGAGCTGAGGAGCTGCAGTGAACTTGGGGAAAGGGGAAAAACCAAACCAAACCAAACAAAGTGGGGAGGAAGGAGAACCAATGGCTTTGGGAGTTTGTGCTGATCTGTTCAAACGGGAGAGAACAGCCCAGCTGGGCTTTGGCTGCTGGAAAGAGACACCCTTGTACCTCCACTGGAAACCTCTCTCTGGTTTCTCTCCTCCTTCTGCAGGGCTGAGTTAGCTGGAGTTTGGTTAGGCTGGCTACATTGCTCGAGGAGTTGAAACAACCAGTAATTGTTGTTGTGTGGGGTTTGGGACATTCTGGGGTTTCTCTGCTGGGCTGACCAGCCTCACCAGGGATTGCCAGCCCTACATCATCCTGTGCAATGCAAAGGGCAGTGCTCAGGAGCAGTTTCATGATTGTGCAAATCTGTGTGACTCTGTGGCCCCTGCAGGTGGCCCAGAGCAGCCTGGGTGTGGAGCAGCAGTGATGGCACTGCAGGGCTCAGCCCTCTCCCGTGCTCCAGGGAAACACTCAGTGCTGAGCAGGGAAATGAGCTGCCACTGAAATGAACTGGGGTTGCCATGGAAGGAGCAAAATACATTAGATGTTTGTTTAATTTTTTAATGGATCTGTTAAGTCAGTGCCCAATACTTGGGTGTTTGCTTTCTGAAAACTTTCAGGTAATTGCGTTTCAGCGCAGAACTTGTGCAAGCCCCAGGCAAATATTTGTGGAGCTTTGTGTTGGAAAATAGAGCAGGTTGTAGCTGGGGGCTGCCTGGCTTTGCAGGTGGGAGCAGAGCAGGGCTGGCCCTGGAGCCCTGGCAGCCCCTGGTGCTCCCAGTGCCCGAGGAGGGATGCCCAGGCAGGGAGCACAGCTGGCACAGGGCACACCTGGATCCCTGGAGCTGCTGGCACTGGGGCTCCAGGAAGGAGAGGGAGCCTTGGGAACCAGTGTTGGGATGTAAAGGCAACCACCCCCTGTTAAACCAGGGGGAATCATGGAATGCCAGAGTGGTCTGAGCAGGAAGAGACCTGAAAGCCCATCCCATTCCTCTAAAGCACATTGCCCCAAGCTGTGGCAGGCGAGACCGGGCAGGAGGCAGTGCCTCTGCTGCTGTGACATCCCTGTCTGTGCACGGGCCTGGCCTTCCCCCTGTGCTCTGCAACTGGCAGGGGCCACTGCACGTTTGCACAGGTCCAGCTGCAGGTGTAATGAGCAGCTCTTCCTGTGGGGGGGGAGGAATCTGAAGGGTTCCTGCAGTCAATGGGAGTAAGAAATTGCATTTGGCAAGTGCTGATTGCTTCCCCAGCACTCTCTGCAGAGCAGGCTGCAGGTAATTTCAGCTCTAATGCTGGCTTTATCCATGGGATAAAAAAGAATTAACTAAAATCTTAGCACTAGTGTGCTTTCACTGGGAGAGAGCAGAGTCCAGCTTCCAGGACTTAAAAGCAAATTAGTTTTAAAAGTCTATAAAGGAATTTGGATTTGAAAGAATTGTGGGAGTCAAGTGCAGTGGCTCCAGAGAAAGGCATGTGGGTGGAAAAGGGCAGGTCTGGGATCGGTGGTGGATCAGGAATCATGAAATCCCTGCATGGTGTGGGTTGGGAGGGACCCTAAAGCTCATCTTCAAGCCAGGGGCAGGGACACCTTCCACTATCCCAGACTGCTCCCACCTGGCCTGGGGCACTGCCAGGGATCCAGGGACAGCCACAGCTGCTCTGGGCACCTGGGACAGGGCCTGCCCACCCTCACAGGGAACAATCCCTTCCTAAATGGGAAAATATCCTGAATCTTCAGTGAGCTGCATCCTTCAGATATTACAGATAACCAAAGAAAGCCTGTGCATCTGCTGGGTTATCCCACATTCTGAAATGCCACGGAAAAACCCCAGTGACGGTGTTTGTCCGCACTGGTGTTGTCTGCACTGCTTCCAAGTGGATCATATTTGGTACTTGCACTCTTCTGCCACCCACACCTGTCCAGAGCAGTCTGAGGTGTTCCTGGGGATCAGCCTGTGTTATTCCTGGGGATCAGCCTGAGGTGTTCCTGGGGATCAGCCTGAGGTGTTATTCCTGGGGATCAGCCTGAGGTGTTCCTGGGGATCAGCCTGTGTTATTCCTGGGGATCAGCCTGTGTTATTCCTGGGGATCAGCCTGTGTTATTCCTGGGGATCAGCCTGTGTTATTCCTGGGGATCAGCCTGTGGTACTCCTGTGGGCTGTGGGCTGTGGGAGGGAGCTGGAGCGAGGCTCAGGGCCGCACTTTGGGTTGCGCTCCGGCCCTTTGGCTGTGTGGGTTCAGTGCCGTGGCCCTGGGCCCTGCAGGGAGGGCTGGCAGCCCGCGAGTGACACTCGTGTCCCCGTGTCCCCAGCTGATGAGTGCCATCCAGAAGGGCCGTGTGTCGGGGAGCAGGCTGGCCGTGCTGATGAAGAGCGCCGAGGAGAACCTGCGGCGCCGCCAGGCCATCCCGGTGGACCGCAGCGGAGGGGGGCTCTGAGCCCGGGCTGCCAGAACATTCCAGGGCTCCTGATCCCCCTGGCTGGCTCAGTGCAGCTCTCCCAAGAGACTTTGGTGCATTTGTGGTTGTCGTGAATGATTCCCTCCCCGCTCCGGTGGCGCAGTCCCAGCGTGGCGCGGGGCTCGGGCACACGCTCCTGGCCCGGTTTGTGTTCAGAGCACACGGTGCTCAGAGGGAACCCTGCCCTTAAACACGCTGACTTCTGCAAACACAACATCTCAAGCTGCTTCTGCCTCTTCAGCCAGGAGCAGGAGAGGGAAAGCTGTAGTGGAGACACCATCCCAAAGGAGCAAACCCTGCACTTCCTGAGGTTGGGGTGGTGGAGACCTGTCCTGAGCCTTCCACGGGTGATAGGCTTGCCCTGTTTGTCCAGTGGTGCCAGTATGGGGCCACCCAGAAATTCCAGCTGCAAAAAAACACCTGGATTAATCACCCGAGGTAATTCTGTAGCTGAAAGCTGCAACAGCTTCCTTTCTTCCCTGTTAACACAAATAAACTGCCTCTAATAAATGGCATTGTCTACAGGTGGTGCTTTGTGCAGTGAAATAAAGGCAAAAGGTGTTTTATGCTAAAAAGTGTTTCACATTTGGGGCAAACCCTGATGCTCTGTAGGATGGGGCAAGTTTTGGTAGCACAGCAGTCTTAAATGTTAATTAAAAATGCTCAAACACAATGAAAAAAACAAGGTGCGTGTCTTGCATCCTACTAACTTTTCTAGAGAAAATGGCTGGTTTTCAGCAGGTTAAATGAAAAACCCAAACATGGGGCCCTCACTGGAGCTGTGTCCAGCTGTACCTGCCTGTTGTCCTCCTGCTGCTGGGTTGGGCTGAGATCAGCTGGGACATTTCTTCCCCGTGTAGAACAAGGCAGGGAAACCTGGTTTACTGCTGGATTTGGCATCTGCTGGATCCCCTGAGCAGAGCAATTTCCACCTCAAACCAAGCTTCCCTTCCCAGGGGTCAGAAATTCTGCTGAAGCAAAATTTGATGTGTTTAACTGATATCACCACACCCACTGATGGAAAATAACAGGGCAGGAGCAAACAGCAAGGATTCCTTGGATATTTTAACAGGGAGAATGGTTCCAGACACAAAGGGAGTGCTGGGATGTAGCACCGTGAGTGCAGATGCTGTGTTTGGCTGCAGAAACAGAACCCTTGAAAACAACATCAAACATTCAGGTGTTGAAGAGTAGTAGATAAAAAAGAACTCACCTAAAAGGATTCCTGAAAGGGTTCAGATGGGTTTTGCATGCTCAGTTGGATTTTTGATGCAGATGTTGTTCAGGTTCTGGCTTTGAGCTTGGAGCAGGGGCTGAGGGACAGGAGTTGGCACATCTGACAGCACAAGGGTGTTCTAATGAGCAGAGGGGTTTGTTCCTGTGCTCCTGCAGGCTTTTCCTTTTGAGCTGTGTTCCAGAACGTTCAGGTGAAGGATGGAGTGTTTGTGTTTCCAAGCCCACAGTAACAGATTTCACATGTCCTGCAGAAAGGAGGGAAATGAATGTGTAACACACAGTAATTTTGGCTCAGTGAGCAAGGGAAGGGGTTCAGGATCCTACTATTAACAAAAGTTTAAGGGGAAAATAAAAAAGCAAAAGTCATGAGACATTTTCTAGGCCACGTGAAGAAAAAATATTTCCAATATTGGACAAGTTTTTTGTAAAGAAAAAATATTTTCACTATTGAACAGCTTTTGTACAGTTTAAAGAGAAATTCTCCACTGCTCTCTAACTGGCATTGTTCAAATAATAACCTGAATTTATGTGGGAAGCAGGGTTTCTGTGCTGTACCCCAAGTGTGCTCTTTGTTGTTTTGCTAACCCTGCACCTGGAATGTGACTGTGGGGCTCTCCTGGCTGTGTGTGTCCCCAGCCATGGATCTCCTCTGTGTCCCCTCCTGCTCCCTGCACGGCACAGCCAGGCCTGCAGTGGCAGGGACAGCTGCATGTGTCCCCCAGCAGCAGCTGAATCTGCACATGGAAAGCTCCAGGTGTTTCTTTACCCCCTCGTTCTGTCTGCAGGAGGGTTGGCTTTGCTGCCTGGGGTTTTTATGTCAGTGTATGATGTCACTGTCTTGCCGTGCTCATCTGGGATGGAAAAGCTGCAATGGGATTATTGCATTTTTTAATTTTTTTTTCCTTTTCTTTTGGTGAAATGAAAGATTTCTGGATTTTCTGTGGGTATTTTGTATTTGAAATAACCTGTCTGTGTGGGGAGGGGGGATCCATGCAGTGTCTGTACAAATACCTGTATGGACACACTGCAGGTTTGCACGTGGCACTTAGCTCTGTTGTCAGGTTCCTGTTGCAGCCTGGGCTGTTCAATGCTGTATTTGAGGCTGGGTTGTCATTTTTGTAACTGTCTTGGTGTTTTCCTGCCATTATTTATTACCTTTGATATCTGGAATGAGCCGCATGCGTTTATTGAGCAATAAGAGGATGTATTTAATGTGCCTTGTTTTTAACTGAGTAAGGACTGAAAGCATGAATCAATAAAACTGGTTAAAAACGCTCCTTTGGCTGCCAGTTTGTTGTGGCAGGTGCAGAAATACCTCGGGGTCACCCTGGAGGGGATCCTGGGGGAGGATGGGGTGTGTGGTGAAGCCTGGCTTCATCTCAGGGCTGAGTGCGGTGCAGGAGGGGAAGTGAGGTGTGAGTGGCACAGGTGACAGAGGGGTCCTGCAGTGCCACAGGTGACAGCTGAGGGGTCCTGCAGTGCCACAGGTGAGTCCTGCAGTGTCACAGGTGAGTCCTGCAGTGCCACAGGTGACAGCTGAGGGGTCCTGCAGTGCCACAGGTGACAGCTGAGGGGTCCTGCAGTGCCACAGGTGAGTCCTGCAGTGCCACAGGTGCCAGGTGAGTCCTGCAGTGCCACAGGTGAGTCCTGCAGTGCCACAGGTGCCAGGTGAGTCCTGCAGTGCCACAGGTGACAGGTGAGTCCTGCAGTGGCACAGGTGAGTCCTGCAGTGCCACAGGTGACAGCTGAGGAGTCCTGCAGTGCCACAGGTGCCAGGTGAGGGGTCCTG